TGGCCGATCTATCATTGTTATCAGTCAGAGCCCTGCAGGGTTCAAGAGATGTGTAAATGAAGGAAGCAGAATGTCTCTTCCATTATCTCCTCACTGATGGGAGAGCCCGGGACCTCCCCACCTCACCGCTCCATAATGGATGTATGACGCATTTAGTGTGGGGAAACAAGATCACCACGTTTTGTATTTAGCTGGCCTGGCTTAATGTTAGCGAGCACAGCACAGCGCCTCTTTATCTCATCCGGTGCTGTTGCTATTTATCCTGCTGCCAGTACTGACAATAGCACCATTAGTCATCAGCAGCAATAGGATGAGGTGAATCTGGCAGCACCTATTACACGCAGGCAACTGCCGAACATCGCTGCTCCTTGATGCACATGGACAGGCACACACAGAGCAAGGGGCCGTAAAGGTAAACTGCAACTGGCGAAGAACAGCAAAAAACACCCACTTAGGTATAAATGTGTAGTGAGTACTCAAACTCCATTGTTTCATATACAATTTATTTCATTTGATAAAGGCATACACTTAGTGAGAGACCAAACATTCTAGAAGAAATGTACATTTCCCTCTTTTTTTTCCCACCCCAACAGTAATCTCTTCTTTACAAAACATCAAATCAAATTACTAGTTGAAAAATAATTCTGCTGATCACCGCTTTAAACCATTAAACAAGCCTCCTGAAGGCTGCTCATAGTAACAGCAGCACTGTTGTCCCTCTGGAGAGTAATACACCAAAGAAGTGGAACCATTCATGGCCTTTGAAACCCAAGAATATATTTTGAGGCAGAGGATTTCAGTGTTTCACTAACATTTCCTCTTACTTTACCCCCTCACCGCTGAAGGCTTTATCCAAAGTGTTACCCATGTCCACATTGTCCCAATTGATCCCTTCAGAGTAACCTACAGCCCAGAAAGCCTCCCCTTCACCTTTACAGATGAGGTTTCGTACAAGCATCTAAGCAAAGAGATTATTCTTGAAAATGGCAGAAGTAAAACGGCCCCTCAGACGTTTTCAGACACACATGTTCAGGCTCATTATTATGTGATTACACTCATGTTTGCTGCCCTGCAAATACAGTAGTTTAAGAAACACTGCTGAAGTACTAAGATACATTAGGGGAGCCCCCCTTTCTGAGCAGCTATGGAGAGAATGTGTCATTCATCTGTCTGTACAGCACTTTTGGAAAGCAGGAAAGCAACAGAAAACTGCTTAAAAACTAAAAGATCTAGTTGAAAGGACTTTAAAAGTAAAATATGGATTCGGAACAGAATGATGTTTTTTTTTTTACAATATAAGTAAACTCAGGTAACACTGTTTTTATTGGTTGGCTGCAAAAGTCTTTTTTTTTTTTAAGAAAATCACTAAACATGCACTAGCTTTAATTCATATTTTACAGTCATGTACACAGGGTGGGTTTAGAGGCTTGTAGTGGAGAGGATTGAGGCTTTTTTCTTTTAAAATGACTGATAAGAACTGGGCCAGAGCACTGGAATAAAAGAACTAAGCTGGGAGAGGAATACAGCCCAGCTCCTCCATAAACGGGGGAAGTTTGGTTCACGAAGATCACGATCTGTTCCTTCTATGTATTTATAGTCAGGATTCAGAGGCACACCAAATCTGTTTAATTTAGAGGCATTGGGATTTGACCGTTTCATGGCTTTCCAATAGGATGGGGTCCGCATGGAGCGATTTGATTGATTGATTTCTCTCAGCGTGAACAGCCATGAGTGGATCAAACCTGCAGCACGAGCGAGGGAAGGCAAATTTTCAGAGAGGCGTCATAAACTCAAAAGAGCTCTGCGGGGAGGATGGAGCCCGTGTTGTTGTTGGTTTGATTTAAAATCTCTCCCTTTTCAAACTATCGATGTATCTGTGATTTAAGACTTGTGTCTGTGCTGGATAAGCACTGCTGCTCTGGGAACACAGGGAGAACACTTGTCGATGTGTGGCTGTATACTTATTGAATGCACACAGAAGAGAAAAAAAAAGATGTAATGAAGCTGAAAAAGATTTTCAGGGAAAGAAGTAGGCTGAGTTTCATTCAGAATACTCTCAGAATAAAAGGGAGGATTTTTTTCTACTGGGGACAGACCCAGTTATAAAATGTACAATATCAGCCTTTCTTTTCTGAGGGTGTATCAAATGACAGAGTAAGGCAGTGGAAGAAGTATGAGCATGAAAGCTGAGTGTGTCTTTTACAGTATGTAAAGTACAAGAGTGGAACAGAGCACGGGTTAATAGTAAGACAGAAGTCTCTTTTTTTCTTTTCTTTTTTTATAATTGGTGCTGAGACCAGAACCTGTGGAGCTGCCTAGATCTACACATCAGCACCCCCCTCCCCCTTCCCACCCTTTTGCTGAATGCTGTGAAGCCAGGCTTTACAGACAGGTGAGCAGTCCAACCCAGACCCATGCACAGCGAGAAAAAGCTACATTCCCTGCACAGTTTGCAGCCCTGTGCTTAGAATAAGCCAAACTGGACATTTTCTAGAGATTCTGGATTTGTGCACAGGCCTGCACTGTGTGGGAAGAATAGCTTTTTTATGCTGTGACACACATCATATTATGCAATCCTTGTGCAATGCCATCTACAGCGCACAGCTCGGTTCGTTGGTGCAGTCATTGTGGCTACTGTGGTTACTGTCCACGTCCCTCTTCCTCAGCTCTCTGCCCGCCTTGTGTTGCTGACTGCTGCTGCTGCTGCCGTGGCTGTGGTGGGCAGGTGAAGAAGAACGCTTGCCGTGCTCCTGGTGGTGCCCGTGATTCTGGTGATGGCTGTGAGCGTGCTCTTTGGTGCCACCGAGAGACTCCCCGTCGTCCCCGTCAGAGAATCCCACTCCTCTCTTGGTGTCGTCCATGGCCTCAAAGTTGTTGCTGGGGTTACGGCTGATTACGTCGCTCTCCGGCACCACCTGCAGGTAGGCTCTGACGCGGTGGTGACGCGCGCCCTCGATGTCGCTGAAGTCAATGACTCGGCACTCGTACGTGCCCTCGTCAGACGGCTTGACTCGGGAGAGGCGGAGTTTGTGGGAGATGTTGCTTCCTACAACCTTCACAACCTGATGAAGGTAGACGGACAAAAAAACAAACAAACAAATAAAAAAACATATATAATGTGGTTGGACTGTAACAAATATATCCAATATAACTTCCAATCAGAAGAGAGTTTACCAATGAGTGGCCATTTCAAGATAATGGCAACCCAACAATAAATGTAGTGAAGTAAAAGCTATTAGTTTAATGAATGAATGAACTTACAGTCACTATAGCTCCTGTTCATATCAGACCAAGAAAAACCTGCCATCTATTGAGAGTACTGAATTAATTAATGTTGCAATTTTTACGAGTCCCTTTAACTGGAATAGAAGGAAAATGTCATTTACTCTTTCAAAAAATGAAAAAGAGCAATTTGAAAAACCTGAAAATGATTCAACTAATATTTCAGCAAAAAGCAGCTCCAATACTGTATCTGTGCTGTCGGATCAGCTTTGTTTGGCTTTGTTCTTGTTCTCTATATACAGCTGAAGATGAGCCTTCAAAATAAAATTAAAAAAACACAGGAAAAGTGCACAAAACCCCCCAAAAAGGACTTTTGCTATCTCACAGACCCCGAGATGAGTGAGTGCACATCTTGCAAAATGTGCACTCACCTTCTCACTTCAACTAAGTATGGTGTGCTGTTTCTTGGCTTCAGCTATGAAGTTTTACTATTCACACGGGGCAGCTACAGCAGCGTATTAATGCCATTGTAGGTAAAATAGAAGTTTGAGCTGGGTCAACATATACAGAGCTGTGCAAAAGTCCTTCATTTTTATACATTTACCTCCAAAGTAGTCAAACTTGTTGTCATATTTAAGATAGTTTTGAGTTCACAGGCTTTCTGCAGGTCTTTTAGAGTTTCTCTTTAGCTGTTCTTTTTAGTTATTTCCAGTCCTTGTAGCTGACCCTGTTCAAAGAGTTTTTTTGTGTTTTTTTGCCAGGCAACTTAATTTCTGAATATGTTTGCACATTTCAATAAATCGCTGCACCTATTTCTCGTTGTCTTTGTAGCAGCATACAAAGAAATGAGTGAAGAAATAAGAGGCAGCTCAAGACTTGCAGAGTACTGCATGGTCTGTGAGATTAAAGTCATCATTTTTAATGAACCTCATGGCTACCCTTTGTAAAGTGGGAACAACCTCATTACATCACACATGTGGCCCACTTGCCATTTTTATGCCTGGCCATGCAAATTACACTTCAAAATCTGACTCGGCAGTAAGGATAAACTCAGTATTTTAGTGAATCATCATATTATCATAAGCATCTGGACATGACCCTGAATTGTGCCTGTTTAGAAGAAAATAACACACTGGTCTGAATGAAATTGGCAGCGCTCCTTGTTTACTCGTAGCCTCTGTCGCGTGATGGTGATCCCACTTGCAAAATGAAGTGTTGCGGCTCATTTACAAAAAAACAGTTTCTGCAACATTTCTCATAAATTTGTAACTTTAATCTCATTTGTTCACTGCAAACTTTTAAAATGTTATGAAATTCATCATTTTCTTGTAAACCTGTGCAATTTCCGGAAACACCCGTAATCTTTTCTTTTTTCTCCCTGAATCGGTGAAGTGGTTAAGATGATGATAGATGGATGGCTCATCCAAATGTATCGGATTTCACAAAAAGTTTTTTTTTTCCCTTTGCAGTTCTGAGCCGGTTTTCCTCAGAAGAAGAACACAACGCATAGAAAATCAAGACAAAACGACATCACAGACGTGGCATTTATCTTCTCATCTAACAATCAGCGAGAATGCAAATCAGTGCATCGTTTCAAAATGCCAAATTATTACTTTGATTGTATAAGCATCCTTCTTGCATGCAAATTCAGTCAAGCCACTTAAGGCTTGCGGCTGCCTATCATACACTCGTCTGTGTTGAGAAAATGAGCTGAGTGTATTTTGAAGATAGTTAAGATGCGCGAAGTCCTGGAGGTACAAAAGAAAGATCATGAGAAGAATAGAATAAATGTGTGGTGTGGCCTGGATGCACTCTAAGGCCACGTCTCCTCCAAGCCAATCACTCAGACAAACAATAAAATCTGTGAAAGTACGAAGAGAAGACGTCAAATGCTTTGCAAGTTTGCAGAGCAGGAGTTAAGACGATGAGAGTCTGGGGACATCTTGAGATGTGACGCACCAAGATATAAATACAACTTCATTTATCACCCACCTTCCTCCTCGTGATGCCAGTAGATGTTGGGATGTGAGCGCCGTGTGTGGCAGTGACATTTGCGCGTTTGGCTGTAAGCGTGAGCTTAATGCGTGCCGTTTGCGAGTTTGCGTCTGCATACGTGAGCATCTCGTGGTGTTTTTGGTTTGACTGTATGGATGTGAGCCAGGATCCATTATATAGAGAGAGCTCATAATGATTTTGCAGCTGTGTAGCCTGCAGTGTTTTGCTCCACCCACACAAACATGCACACAGACACACAAAAGCACACAGACACACACACAGTCACAAAAACACAGCATCAGTGATTCAGCAGCAGCTAGCCTTTTGGGAGAAAGCCGAAAGGTTTTTGTGTGTACATGTTTCTGCATGTTTAATGCAGCTTTATGCATCTTCAACTTCTGCGC